ATTACAAAATATTCCATAAATGGCAATGTGGGGGGGACGATGTCACGCCCATCCACTCATTAACAAAATGGACGATTACAAAATATTCCATAAATGGCAATGCGGGGGGAACAGGGGGGGAACGATTGCAAGCCCGAAGGCGTTAACAAAATGGAGGATAACAACAAAAAACACCCACATGACACAAGAGGGGGACGGGGCCGACCAATCAGAGGACAAAATCTAACGAGCGGAAGTGCCGTAAGAAAAGCATTGGGAGATAAGGAGATTTGCCCCTAGATATCCTACTGATCTTTGATACCATCTAATTGACTGGCTGTTAACATAGGTGGAGCTTTTGGGTAATTGAGTAATATCGAGGCAAGTAGCTCCGATAACCTTACAAACCGAACTAGCTGATAGTAAATTGAATTCCATCGTGTGCAAACTGACTGAATTAATTTAAGTGGTACTGTTACATCATTTTGCGCTTTACGAAGAGCATCAGCAACATTTACATTTTGTTTACAGTATCTAGTTATATCCTTTACAATATTCAGTAACTGTCTGGCACTTTCAATACCACCTTTTTCTTCAAAAGGTTTTTGAGCTGCTAAATTCAAAGTGTGGGCAAAACACCATAAGTGTTTTTGTTTGCCAAATGCAATTGTTACGGCCTTGACGATATTCGCACCATTATCAGTAACAACTGCTGCAACTTTTTCTGAAGCTATACCCCACTTTTCAGTCATTGTTTTTAATACTTGACATAAATAATCGGCATTATGGGGCTCAGTTAAATAGGACACACCAAAATTTATACTGATTAGTTCACTTTCATATATAAAATGTCCAGTTAAACCCATGTAGCTTCTAGTATTATGTGTATCAGTCCAGATGTCGGTAGTTAAACATATTGACTCTACTTCTAAAAGCTTTTCTCTGAATTGCAAAGAAAGAACATCATATTTGTCATCTATCATTTGCGTAGTTGTCTGCCGTGAAGGAAGTTTATATAAAGGCACTGCTGCTTTCATCAAATATGTGAAACCTTCTTTTTCAACTGTATTTAATGGTAATGTATCCTTGCAAATCATGAACATGATAGCATTACTTAGTTGTCCATACTTCTGCCCGTTTACTGAAAAAAAAAAAATTGAAGATATACATTATCACCGACCATAAATACACAATGACCCAAATCAACTAAGTAAGTAATTTATTAGGTAGATAACAAAAAATCTTACCATTGAATGCTTTAATATTATTAACACATGAATCCATAGTTAGTTGATTAAGTTTTGATTTTTTCACTGATACTGATGATGACGCTGTACTTTCTAAGTCAGAATCATAGTACTCTTTTGAACCGGTCAAACTCAAAACATCATTTATGCCAAATTTTTCCTTAGATGTCGACGTAGCAGCAATATCGTCATTTGTCTGAAAAGAATTACGTTTTTGTATTCTATTATTATTTCAAATTACAAAACAAATTCAATGAAAGGATAAAAAATGCAAGAATATTTCATTTTCAAACAAGCATGTATTAAAAAAAGGCAAAGGCTTATGTTATATTCTGAGGAAAAGGTACGGGTACACACTCCAGTTTCTTTTTTGTCAACACCAATACCATCACTTGCCACCACCAGTTTTCGTTGACTTACAGACTTAATACATGGATGTCTTCGTAATAAATGGTTGCGTAAGTTTGTTGTATTTCCGCATGTTTTGACTTCGATATGACAATACTTGCATACGCCACTTGATCCTTTTTTTACAAAGTGATTCCATGTATCACTTTTAGTTGACATTTTAGCCTAAAAAACAATAGGTACTTTAATAAAATTGCAATCTACAACGCACGTTTCTTTCTCGATAAATCAATTTCAATATAATCACTCACCTATTATTTTTCGAATTAACATGAATGCGATATGAACACGATACTATTTATTACATTACTATAAATTTATCTAGTAAAAATAATATTTACCCACAGTATATTTTTGATAAATAAAGTAATAAATAAACTCACTCACACAAGAGTCAAGAATAGGTTTTTTAGGTTAGGTTTGAGTGTTTGACGACTTTGACGTTCAGTTGAGAGGACACGCCCGGAAAAAAAATGTTTTTTTTTAACGCAAATAAATAACGCCACCTTTGAAAGCGTTCATAAAAATTAAAAAATTATACCGTAGCTAGTTGAGGAATATTTATTATCGGGTAGTTCTTTGAATTAATCAGTCCGATTCGAGAGGTTTATGGATCGATTCATTGAATCGATGCAGGGTCCAAAATCGATCTAAAAAATCGATTATATTATTCAAAATAATCGATTTTTCGATTAATCGATTTTAAATCGACATGCCTACGGGTGAACGTCACTCTCGTCTTGGAAGGCGCAAAGGCGGTGGCGGTAACAATTTGCCGATTGTGACGTATATCGAGTGTGGTGTTTGCTACCGCGGGTGCTGGTAGACACTGGATTTTAGGTAAAATGTGCATACCTTTTATACTAAATTTGGGTCAACTCTATGGTGGGGGTACCAATTAGTGTCTGATAATGATGTATATCTTAATAATGTTAATAATGTTGGGATGCAACACCTCTGGGGTGATTTAAATTTTGAACTGATATATAAAAATTCAAAATTTGGAAAAAGTTATTAAGATACATTTATAATATGAAAATATTCATCGGTTAGTAGTTTCAGAGGAGCTGTGCTTCTTATATAAATGAATTTAATCGATCTTCTTCTATACGAGGAAGAGGGTAGCGGTCTTTTAGAGTTATTTTGTTGAGTGCACGAAAATCCACGCATAGACGATCTGTTCCGTTTTTTTTTTTGAACTAGTATGACTGGGCTGGCAAAAGGAGAATTGCTTTCGCGCACAATGCCGTTTTGTATTAGGTCTTCGATAATATTTCGTCATTTGGTGCGTTCACTTTCAGACATACGGTACGGGTGATGGTAAATAGTTTTATTTTCGGTTAAAGTTATTTTTAATTCTCCAGTAGTTACTGCCTGAACGTGATTACCGGAAGTGAAAAGGTCATGGAATTCAGAAAGAACATTACGCAGTTTTAGTTTATCCTCCTCGTCTGCTAAGTCCGTAATTATGTTTTGGTCATGTTTCATTAAAACATTGTTAATTGGATTTTTTGGAACAATTTTCTGAATGTTTTTATCCTTAACCAGTGCTACGCTATGCTCATAAATATTTTCTCCAATGACAATCTCATAAAGACAATTATTATTCGGTATAACAACAAGGTCAAGCTTTACTTTAATGTCGGGGAATTCTAACAGAGCAGCAGTAACATAGAAAGCATTGTATACAGTCCCGTTAAACCACTGTAAAGGCGTGATATGAAACATTTTTTTGAGTTTTAATTTATGAACCAATGACTCAATAATTAAGGAACATGTTGAGCCAGTATCGATTTGGCAATTTGTTTTGTAACCGCAAATGGTAATGGGAGATGTTTTTAATCGCTCGTGTGCGGAGTTGATAAATTAAAAAGAACATGTTCCTGTTTGGCTTTTTTATCGCGTTGTTGATACGACATTCTTTATCGTTTTCCGTAAGGCTTTGTTTATTTTTTCGGCGAAAACAATTCTCAATAGTGTGTTTTTACATAATTTGATAAAAACGCAATCAGATCACTGACAGACATAGCACCACAATTAAATGCTGCAGTTCTCACGGCAGGATCGTCAATTGAATGTGCGATTGTTTCAATTAAATCGGAATCGGACCAATTTGCGCGTAAACACTTCAGTTTTTCGAGTTTTACTCGGGAATACTCCACATAACTGCGTGCATCGGAACATTGGTAGTTCACTGCGTCAGTCAAAAGTTTCCCCAAATTTTTTTGTTTGGGAAAAGAAACGGAGAAATCCAATTTAAAATTTTCCCAAGTCTCCTAGGAGGGCTGCCACGCAGTAAACCACCTTAGTGCAGATTTTAGTAAAAAAGGGCCAATTCTACTCACAGTTTCTCTGTCCGACCATCCAAATTCATCTTTATACCCTTCAATTTTTGACAACCACACCATGCTGTCCGTGTTGTCCGGATCAAAGCTAGGCAGGGATAAAAATGTAGGTGTTCTGGGGGAAATTTGAATGGGGGAAGCAGCTGATTGATCATTCGATTCGAGTGACACACTCGAGTCACGTGATAAGAGCGGCAAATTTCAAATTTGTCAGAGCATATCTGACACTATTATAACGACATCGAAGGACTACTCATATTTGGTCGTAAAAACCGATATTCGTAACAGCCGATGACGTTGACAGTAGAATTTTCTTATAACAGTAGAATTTTCTTATTATGTGCTTTTAATTCAGCGTCCCAGTTTCGGAACCATCTTTCAAAAATTTCCGATGTCATCCATGATTTCATATTGTTTTCGTACGTTATCATCAGTGAGCGTATGTTTTTAAAACATCTTGGTTTCTTAAATTTGCCTGTAACTAAAAGCTTCCGTTTACAGGATCCTGTCATATTTGCTGCAACCATGATCGTCAGTCTCATAATAATCAGGGCGATGTAATTGAGCCCTGTTTCGCAGTTGTTTTGGTTGAATATTCTCATTGTTGTCTTCATCTGCATTTTCGTACTCAAAATCTTCATCGTCTTCAACTTCAATATTTGATTCTTCGTCAGCAAGGTTTTCTTCTTCTTGTGGCTCTTCTTGTTCATGAATTTCATAATTACCAAAACTTAAAGTAATCGATTCTTGTTCAATTTTTAATGTTTATTCTTCATTAAAATTGATATTACAGCTAATTTCGTTTCTTCTTTCCGGATCCCACAGTCTATAATTTGTTGAATAACCATCATATCTTGATCCACTAGGAGATAAAATATTCATTGGACCACACACGTCGGTATGTATCATTTCATCCGTTTTTCCGGATCTTTGTCTATCTAAACTTGCATGCGGTTTTCTGGTTTGCTTACCAAATTTACATGATTCACAAAAGAATTCTTCATTTCCATTTATATTCAGATTCTTAACCATGCCCTTTTTAGCTGTTTTCTTGATTGTGTTGCAGTTGATATGAACAAGCCTATCATGCCACAATTTCAAGGAAGTTTTGCTGCTCACGTTGCACTCAGGAGAAGTTTTTACTCTGAAGTTCATTAACCATTAATTGTTACTTCGTGCACCGACACACGACACTTTTCCATCTCGGTCGCGAAATTCACAGTGATTTTTGAACGAGTGATGAGCAAAGTTTTTATCTGTCATCACTCCCATTGAAAACAAACTTCTGCTGAGCTGTGGAATGTATAAGACATTGTACATCGTCCTGTCATACCACTTTCCATAAACTAAAGCTTGTATTTCAATCGACCCAATTCCAGCTGCAGCTATAACTTTATTGTTCGCTATTTTGACATACATTGGTTAATCAAGTGGCTTCAATTCTTTAAACCATTCATTTTCACTGATCATGTGAACACCAGAATCACAGATCCACTCTGATTTCTTCGTTTCAGAGCTTGCTGAATATAGGGACGAAATATCACAAATGTAAGCAGAACTACCACCTTCAGATCCATTTGAATTTTTCTTCGATTCTGCAATTCTTTTTTTACATTCACGTGCCCAATGCCCTTTCTTTTTGCAATAATTACCCCTGGTATTTTTCTTTAGTTCCTTTATGCTTTTCTTTTTCTTGAAACTAGTCGCTTCTTCTAGTTTACTCTGCAAAGCTTTGACATCTAAAGCTAACCGTGACGTTTCCGAAGCATCATTCATCATTCTTGTCTCTTCTTTGAGTAATCTGGCTGTCAGATTTTCAAAAGTTTGCTGATCGCGTGAGGCAGAATCCCAAGCTGTTCGGAAATTATTGTATCTTGCCGGTAAACTGTTAATGACCTTTGAACAAATAGCGCTGTTGCTAATATTTTCATTAACATTTTTCAACTGTTTCACCAACAATTCAATTGTTGCAATGTGTTCTGCTATTTTACAATTTTCAGACACCCTGTACTCATAAAACCGCTGCCACAGAAGTTCCTTGGACATTTCGGTCTTCTGTTCATGTATAGATATCAGCCTGGCCCACATTTTCGCTGCATCTTCGCAATTAATCAAATACTGCATCTGATCTTGTGTGATTGTAGCTAGCAGAATAACTTGAGGCCTGGAATTTTTGGTATCCCATGCTGCCCATTCTGGTTCACTTCTGTCTTCTGGTACACATTCACTGCCATTTACAATATCCAAAAGTTTTTCTGCTTTCAATAAAATCTGGATACTAAATTTCCACAATTGAAAATTTGATCCATCAAACTTTGGAATGTTTCCAAATTCAAATTTGGTTGCCATCGTGAACACAAACAAAACCGCGGATTCGAACCGACACAAACCACTCAACGACTATACACGACTCGAACGTGATTACAAATTAGGTACCCTTACGCACCTGGGCCCATTACCTGTTAAAATTAATTTGGTAGAATGTATTAAATGATTTATTTAGTATGACAAAAATGATAAAAATGTAACAGTGATCTTATCGTTAAAAGAGTTGTATGTGAACTGACTACTAACAGTTGACAAAAGCATTCAATAATTAGATGAAGCAATAGTCAATAATTCTCAAGCCATGATTAACATTCTGGGAAACAGTTTTGATAAAACTGAGCGCTGCGATAAATAACTCTTAAGGTACATATACAAAACGTGTAATATCTGAAACTGACAGGTATTATGACTACGACTGTAAAATCGTAAATACAAATAATGTGTATTTCTAACAGTATGTACAAAATTTAACCAAAATGCGAAAGACAATATCGCCACAGGACCAACTATATTCATGGTTATTTGTTCGCAGAATTTGCGTGAGGTAGTTGTAACAACCAGGGGCCTTTTATTTGGTTTGAAATTTGGTTTAGATTGTTGGTAAATTGGGCATTTTTTGATGTATTCATATTTGCATATATACATACTACCTGTTTATGTAAAAGTCTGTAATAGAAATTGACATGTCTTTTTTTATTTCCCTAAATATATAGATTAAATATTAATATAATTTAATAAATGTTCATATATCAATTNAGACGTCGGGCTTTGTTTTTCCTCTTAAGGAGGTCAACAATGTCTGCGGGGAGACCATTGGCTGGGGTGGTGGCTGGGCGGGAGGTCGTGGAGCGCTCGACGGCGCTGGTAATCTCGTTTGAAAGGAGATTTACCGCTTCATCGAGTTCCTCAATTGTGCGAATTTGAGAGCACTTAAAAGAAGATGACTCAAGGATGTAGCGCAGATGTAGCCAGTCTAACGA